CAAGAGCACAAAAACCTTAAATAATAATAAGAACACTTTTGTTTTGTTGTAAACATTCATTTATAAAATCGACCGCATTGAAAAATATGTAGAAAGAATTCTTTCTACTGTATATATATATATAATATTAATGTACTTTTCTTCATTTATTGCATAGAGATTGTTTTTGATTGTTGAGAAAACGCAAAATTATTTAAAGTTGATTCAAATCTAAATTTATTCGTTAAGTATTCGGCCTTTCAATGAAAAGGAGAAAATTCAATGAAATTTACACAAAAATTATTAAATCTTGTATGTCACAACTTATACATTATGCATAACTTACGTTATACGTATATATTATACATCATTTTTGTTCTTTTTTGTTTTTATGTTTAATATAAGTGATCGTCAGGCCGGTTTATATGTAGCTTTAATGAAACATTCCCGTCTATATTTATAAACGAACACAACACGAAATCAATTGTATTACATTTCTTTCTATTATAATTTATTCGTTTGAGCTTTTATGTTTTTCTTTCTCTATATGGAAAAGGTGTGTCCAATAAAGTTATTAAATATAAAAAAGATTAAAAATTAAAATATAGAGGTTATTTTCCTTATTCAATAAAGAATCGTAGCAAATTTTTTTTCCGAGCATTATTTTGTATTCTGCTGTGGCGGAGCACGGTGCAGGTGTAACGCTTTGAGATGTGCGCAGCCCCATTCGTGTACTCACGACCAGACTCCGAAAACCAAAAAGGTTTTTTTAGAGCTGATCGACCGAACCCCATCATGCTTTAAATACATGATTTTTCTGGGCGTACTGCTCCCCTTTTTTTTTTAAAGCATGTTGTCATCGCTTGGATACCAAAGTACCCATGAATTTCTCATGGTGCCGTTGCTCAAGTGATGATAATCTCTTCCTACAACAAGTGTCGGAGACCCGAAGACTTTAAGTAACATCGGGTACATCCCATTCTTAGGTACCCCTGTCGGCCCTTCCAACTGTTACCCCCCTTTCATTTTCCGCCCAACCAAACAAATTCACGCCTCGGTGATAGAGCTGCGTTAACAGTTTGGCGGCCTCGCTTTTCGCAAGAAACAGCAACAAAAAAAAATAAAACATAATAACATGTTTTGTCACAAAGTGAGAACTCATTATCCGTATCCAATTGAATGATAACTTAATTATAAACCCTGTTCGGAGTTTCTTTCGCGATTTTTGTCGCGACCAACTGATATCACAATTAAATTAATTCGGTAATTTTTTTTCACTCGTTGGGCACCTTTTGTGTTATAAGCGACCAACGTTTCAAATGCCAAAAAAAATAAAAAGTATAAACATTGAAATTACAAGGAAATTAAGTCAATCATATTTCGGGATATATTTTCTCTTTCCGTTGGGAGCCGCTTTTTCATGTTATAAGCGACCAATGTTTCAAACGGATCGAGAAAGAAAGTATAATTACATTATTCGACTTAGAAACTTACGGATCCAAAAAAAGTACTCAAAGTTTCTGGTCTCCATATTCCGTTGGGCGCCATTGTTATGCGCAACCAACTCATATCGAAATTAATTTAATTCTTTACCAGTTTGCTTTTCGTCGGGCACCATTTATGTCACTCGGACAATCAACTTGTCGAACGAGAAAAAAAGAAATATAAAAAGTATGAAAATTAAAATTACGAGGAAATTATTGAGTTGGACCGATTACAAAAATTCCTCTGCTCCAGTTTTACGTTGGGCGCCACTTATGTCACGGGCATAGCTCCTTGCGCGGTAGAGCGTTCACTTATTATACAGGCACGCTGTGTCGCATGACAAAAGAAAAATTTAAATCACACTGCGTAAGTCCGTTTGTGAGGTCTATTGTCCGTACTGAAGGCCGCTCGTTGGTCCCTTCTTAGTCCGTCAGTACCCATTCCCAGTCCCTCTCACCTTCACTCCCGCCCACCCATGCCCTGCTTCAGTGGTGGAGTATGCTGCTTAGCCGCACATTTTCATCCAAGCTATTTTAATTTTAATTTTTATCCTTTTTGTCGTTTTAACTAGTTATTTATTCACTACAAATTTCTTGTCGTTATTGCCTAGGCTTTTCCTTATTCTCTTCGCCTGCTTAACTTTGTGTTTTCAACGATTTAAACACCGATCATGGCTTTGAGAAAATATATGAAAATATTCAATATGGAATTGTTCTATTTATACATTGGTTTAAGAGAGGTTTGTAAATGAAAATGTCTTAAAAGAAGTTCCAGTGAATATCCAAAGCTAAGTTATTAAATTTAGCCTACCAGTTATATAGATTTACGACAAGAATGAACTTGATGCTACTGTCTCCTTCCTTATCCACGGCATATTGTTATTACTCTGAGTTATTTCCAAATTTCAATTAACAATAGATATCCACGGATCTTGGCTCACGTTTACAGCAAGGGGTTGCCTTAGTTGCCTTAGCTGATTATGGATAGTCCGCAAAGTTGTTGTTTTTAAGAGACTACCAATTTATTCGTTACCAAATATGCTCCATAATTTTTGTATTTTATTATATTTGTATTAACGTTAATAATAAATCCGGAAGAATTTAATTAAAACTTATTTTAATCAAATTAGTTTTTTTCATATTATGATACAATATATTTATGTTACAGTATATTAGTCGTACTTTACAATTTTTCTCCATATTATATTTTCTTCTTTATGTTTCTTTAAAACCTTTTTTTTATTTCTTTTCTTTTTGTTGTTATTAAACGGACACAATTTTACCAATAGAGTAGTTGTAATTGTAACGTGAAAATCTGGGCTATTTTAGCTGTACATAATTAAACTTCTAATTCGAAAGCTTTTTATTAGTAACTTCTCGAGATTTTTAAAAATAATTTTTTCAATTTCTTTATTTTATTTACTTAACTAATTTCTCTAGAGACCATTCTTTATTCGTGCAGTTTTTTGTTCTTTTCCATACTCCAATGGCGTATTGCATTTTTTCCTCATCTTTGACACAACTTTTCACTTCAGATGTTCCTTCAGAAATCATCTCATCTTTGTTCAAAATCGATCTGTTTGCATAGTGGCAAGCCGCTATTACGACATTACCGGTCAAAGCAATTTCTAAACTGTCAAAATAATATTGATTGCGTCTATTTAAATCTAGATGAGTTGATTACTGTGTATATTTAAATGTAGAAGCCTCAACGCAGATTTTTTGCAAAATTTAAAAAAATTGTGCGTGCATGGGTTTTTACAAAAAAAAAACATAATCATATGGTTAATATTTTAATCTTTGCAGCAGTTATCTGCATTTACCAAAAAAATTTCATTTTAGCAGCAAAGACCAACAAGGAAGAAAGAATTAATTTGAGAAAATTAAATTATATAAAATGGAATATTTAGATTTTAAATTAAAATTTTTCCATTTTCTTTCATTTTTTGCTTTAAAAGATAGCTTTTAAATAAATTCTACACTTTCACATTAACGTGTATGCAAACGAACGCTAACAATATGATTTTCCTTCAGCATCGCACGCAAGTGCTGTGTTTAACTGATTTTGCAATGCAATCACTTTCTCAGCATTAATTTTTCGCTCACTCCAAAATTGTTGAATTCATATAGATTAGCTTCTGTAACTTGCTTGGACTTTCGTAAAACGTGCAGCTGCACACACTGTTTTGTGCTTGCGCTTGGCATTGTTTACACGACTATATATTGAAGCATAGAAGAAAACTTCGCAGACCTTACAAAGCATTCAGCATCAAAGTCCAAATAATTTTACGCGTTCTCTCATTGGCAAAAATGAATGTCTCGCCTATAACCTTGCGGAAAAATTTGGAAGTCAACTAAACTTGTCAAAGGACACATCTACGACGCGTACAATACGTGTTAATCCCGAGAATTATCGGCCCACACACCTAAACATAATTTCAGTGTTACGTATTGTCTTGATGTATACCAAATATATATCTTTAAATAGAACAAACGCGCACACATACCTAGTCTTGAACATCCTTAAGTTCAGGGTACAGTAAATTTCTTTGTACTGACGATATTTCATTTATTTTATCTGATAATCCTGATACTTCGATTGCGTTATTAATTGTGAATGTGTAGCAAGCCGTATTTTCTTGTAATTTCTTTAAAAAGAGTATATAAAAATGTAAAAAGTATTTTAAGAAAAGATTTTAAATAATTGTGACTTGGATTATACATCCATTTGTGTCGCAAACAACTTTCTCACTATACTATACTAAACTATGTTATTCCAAATGTCTAGCACTGAAGTGTAGGCTGTTACGCCCTCCACTGGCACACTGGTGATACTAAAGTTGCTAATTGTTAATAAGCAAATATCTACATCGGAAAATAAGCTTATGTAGATATTGTCGGTTGGGTTCTAAGTCAGTTCAGCCGCGCTTTCTTATGTTTAAATTCTTCGACTCCATTTTTCACCATCGTTCCTATTCTTAACTTTTCATAACCAATGCCAAATTTGAATTGCTAACAGTAGCTGGTTTCTGTAGCTGTTTGGTCTAAGCTTTTGTAATGTTCTGTATATTGATCAATTGTTACAACCGTTCTTGGTTCAAGAAGCATGGCGGTAAAAATTGGGATCCTAATAGTTTATAACGAATCCTACGTTTTCCTTAGGATCTCAAAAGTGTGATGGTTATACAGTCGGCGTAAATATCTGAAAAGTGCTTATAACAATTGTCGTTGTGAATACGTGGTAAAGATTAACTTAAGTGACTCTCTTTACCATAGATTCAGCATATCGAAAATTCTTACGCACACATCCGATAAGTCCCTATATATCGCGGCTCGGCAAAACAAGCTGTAACAAACGTATGAACATAACCTCAATAGAAGTAAATGCAAACGTCTTATTGTTGACGCGAATTCTTACTCGTATGATGGCACAATTTCATATCAGGCCCAAATGAAGCAAAACGTTTCTAAATTGAGGTTTTCACAGTATTTTCAAAATACCTAAATGGCTTTCTAATATGATTTTTTTGTTTGAAAAATAAAATAAGAAGTTTAAAACAAATTGAGTAACGAGTTCATTGATTTCAGGCGCCACAAGTATTATCTATTAAATGTCTTGTAGGGACGATTTTTTTGGCCGTACTTTTGCTTTCAAGTCTTTCTTGGAGCCTCCACATGAAGGACAGCAGTTGAAATCCATTAAATAAATAACCTTTAAATAGTATTAATATTGAATAACTTCATATATTCTCCTATAGGGTTCGGGTTACCTTCGGATGCGCTTTGCAGATTGCTGATACACGTCCTTTGAAGAATTTGTGGCATTTGGTGCATTCCACCCATTGTGGCTCCCTTTGCCCGCGTCCACAAATGCAAGCTTCGCTTGTGTTCCCAGAGGAGAGCGAATCACTTGTGGCTGACGACACAAAATCTGCGGCATTACTTGCAGATTCCGATTGCTCAAATTCAAGCATATAATTCGCTGCTGATTTATGGAATGTGCGAACATACTCTAGACGAGCACTTAGCGATATTTTTTTCATTTTAACAGTTTTCGATTTCCAATTACCCTCCTTTTTTGAATTTTTCACTTCTTCGAAGAAGAGATGAGTTCGTTCGTTTGTTAAGGGTTGCCCTATTCGCAGACCGCTGACATTAAAGTTATTCAATGTTATCCTGTTCAAAAGTTTTTTTTTACTCCGTTAGCCAACGGCCTTACACACTATAAGACCAGGCATTTCGTTTCAATTTCATTTTTAGCAAAATCTTGAAAGCTTGAAAAGACGTTATTATTGGAAATAAAATAAATAGTTCAGAAAGTTCAAAACATACCAAAAACTAACTACTTATTCTCTTTCGAAAAGGCAAGTGAACATTTTCTACGGAAATTGTGTCTAAAAACTGTGTATAAAAACTGGATTGGTTAAGGAGATCTTTATAATGTCCAATTTGAAAGCAATCAGCGTATGAAAGAATTTCCAAATTTTAAAGTTTTCGGCGAGAGTGGATAAGACGCTATATTCTGGCGCACGAATGTATGTTAACAAGTTAGTTAAAATTGGATCAATTATTGGAGTTCTTATATGTGTGTATATTTAGTTGGAGTATGTATAATATACATTTATTTGTTTTTATTCCCAGTGTGTGTCAGTTGTTCTCCATTTGGCGGTACATCCTTCGCATTGTGGTCGAATTTTCATCATATTCACACATACATTGATTAAAATATTAATTATGGGCGTTTTGTTTTTCTAACTGCCGTTATATATGCATTTCTTATTACAAGAAAAAATTCTTGGAAAAAATTTAATGCAAATTTATGTACTTTGCGCTGAATTTCTGTATTTATTAATAACAGAATTCACACATGGGTCTTTATAACTGTTGAAGCTTTGAGCTTAAAAAAAAAGGGTGTGAAGCTTGAAAAGTTCCAGTACATTTTGATCGCTTTTATTTATATGAAGGCACATTTAAACACACATAATTATTTTTTCTCTATGTCGTCTAGTTTTCGGAATACCTACATCGGAGTACGTATGAGTCGCTACAGTAAGTTGAAACTTGACACAAACATTTCTTGATCGGTTAAAACTGCGAAGTTAAAAAAGGGCTTGATCTGCTAATATACATGTGCACACAAAACTGTGGAACCAGGTATACGCAAAATGTCGGTACTTCCCGTGTTAAAAAGTTTTACAATTTTGCATCCCACTGGTGAGGCATTAGACTAGGCGTTAGCATTTATCCCAAATGCCTGTTTTTCCGTAAAATATAATCCAGGCCTGTGTACTATTAACTATCATTATTATAACAAATTAGCTTAATGTTTGTTTCAGACAAACTAAAGTATGTTCATCTTTTATAATTACTCTTTTGCATTCTTAAAAAGCGATACTTTAGTTAAATTATCTAATCAAAGCCAATGTTTACGCTGATATTGCTTGAAACAGAGCCAACTTAAGCGTATGGTTACATTTTTGAAATATTGAAGAAGTATTTTATTCGAATCATATAACACCACATTGATAAATAAAAGGTTCATTTTGTTTGCTAAACATGTGCCACTGTTACTTTTAAAGGTCAACGGTAATATGTGCGCTTCCTTTTCTTCATGAATACTTCTTATATCTTAAAAATGATTTACACAGATCCATCAAATCAACTCTTATCTTTCTCAGTAAATTTAGACCCTGAACGTCATTTGACCTCTTCATTAAACTTTTGTAAGTTAAATACGTGGACAGCTATGGCTTGGTTTCAGTATCTCGGCTATAATGCTTATGTGATTTGTATGTTTTACCGAACTTCTTCCGATCGAAAGCATTTGTAGATCTTCTTGTAGTGTACTCGTGTATATGTATTGTATTAGCAAGTCATGATATAAAAAATCTCGGAAATCTTTTTTTACCTGAAGCTTGGTGAATTAAAAACTTAAATTTCACTCTGTCCATTGAGTACTATCCTCTTCAAAGATAATCAATAAGTAAATTCGAATTTTCAATGCGTCATAATTTTTCAATTTTTCTGTTATAAAAACTTTTCTGCGTGCCAACCTGCACAATGTAGACGTGTCTTTATAACTTTTTACTAAATATTTTTGTGTGTTTGTATATATAATAGAAAGGGTAGAACAGAAACCTCTGTAATGTACAAATTGAAACGGTCTACTACGGACCGGCCACATAAACGACAACATCGTCTACAAATTTATACATTGGCTAGTAATGTTGTTGTTATTGCTGCCGCCATTGTTGTAAATCATTATATAATCGTAAGGAGGCGGCTTGCATTGTATGCTGTTATGGATGGTAAGCGTCTGTATAGTAGCAAACGTTAGAATCTATTTTTGTTACACACGCACTCCTGCACAAAAGCCGGATTTCCTTTTTTTGTTCAGGAAAAAAGAAATCCTCTCTATGCTACGCACACATTGATATACTAACCAACGGCAGCAAGCTTTCCTATTATGGCGGGGCATTTGTAGTCTGGTCTGTAATGTAAAATTTTCTAAAATTGGCTGTCAGCATGTTGACGCGTACGTTTTCCGGCGTAATCACGATTAAAGTGTCAACAGAATACTAATTATATTGTTGTGTTTGTTTCTTCTATGTAGTAAAGGTACGCGTACAGATAAGGAATAGTAAAAAGAGTGTTTTAAAGCTTAAACTCTGCTTCTACACAGACATGAAACTATTAACAACTGCTGTACGTTCTGCTGGTATGTATGTGACGTTATGCTCGGTACAATATTTAGTATGTTGTTACCTTTCAGTTAGCAACACATAACATGTTTAGCTTGGCTTTGTGTGAGATGTTGACGATGATGACCACAGTAACTATGATGATGACCAAGGAATTTGGTATGAGTACTAAATGTTGTCAAAGTTGATTTTGTGATTTTAGTTTTAAATAACTCTTTTTTGCTTTTTGTCTACAGTTGCTGCCTGTTTGTTTTGGTTATTCACTGGCGTCCTCTGGATTTCTAGAGCTGATGTATGTTGTTGCTAACGTTCGCATACAGATTTGATGTTTTTCGTCCTTGGATTTATTGACGCATTTGCAAGTTTCCTTACTTTTGTCGGTCTTCTATTCATATCAAAATTAAAGCATTGCAACTAATATGATATTATGGAAATTTTTCTTAAAAAGTAGGGGTTTTGGCGTATTTGCGACAAGCATATTAAATAGATAATTTCTATGAATGAGGAGCTTTATCATCGTTATAACCGGAAGGCGAATAAATATCCAGCAATCATAACCACACACGTTAGGGCGACGTTTTTAAAGCAAGCAAAGAAATTTATTAACTTTTTTTATATGGAAGGACTAAACCTAAAAGAGAAACAACTAAAAAAAGTTCCTTCGGACAGTCTTGTTTGGGTAAAAGAAAAAGTATCAAAATAATAATATTAAAGGAAGCTATTGTGAATATATTTTTAGATTTTAAACAAAAAAATTGTTTTTAAGAAATACCAAAAGGTGGCAAAAAATTAGTCTAATGTTGAAGCTAACATGAAGAAGAATGTTTATTTTGTACTCCCTTAATAATACGTCACTTGGAAGACATTGTGACAAACTCGAACGAAAAGAATAAAAATTGCACGCGTTTAGTTGTAGGCCGTTTTGAAGTGTCTTGTTTCGAGAAGTACGTGTTCAGAGTTTTAAAATTTTTTATTATTTTTTGGCATTAACTCCCTATCCTCTCCAGGAGCGGAACACTGAGATCCCGTTTTCAAATATTCTTCCCGATTCTGTTTCCTCGAAGATGTGACGCTTCGTTTGCTGCAACTGTTGAAGGCGGCATCACATGGTTCGCACTTTATAAATTGCGTGGAATGATGTAAACAACTGAGAGAAATTGTATAATTGTAAAAAAAAATTGTAATAAAAAACTTCATGTCAGAAGACTTTCGAATAACTCCTATACCCGTATCTCCTCAACGGTTGGCTCTGTGCAATTACAATGACATACTTTCAAATGCTTTCATTCATTTTCAAATGAACACAAGCGCTTTCCGAAGGCATCTACCAGTATATGGGGGAAGTTGGAAATCAGGCACAAGCCATTAAATTGTATCTTTCCAGTAGGAGTTCTTTTCACACAGATTGTCTTTTCGGTGCTCTTCTCTTTCTTCGGGTAACGGTCTTTTCCTACGTAATCTAAAAGTTTTTTAAAAAATTCTATGAAGTCAACAAACAAAAAACAAACGAGAAGAGTTTTTTTTATAAAATTCACAATGATTTTTTCCGTTAAGTATGTTATATGTTTCCTATTTCGTTTCGATAGTCTTTGCTATCTCTCTGACCAATTTCTGCACTAAACTGCATGATTGATTTTAAGCGAATATCGTTAGCGGAAGTCGTTCATTCATTTGTTTAACTTTTAATTTCGAAACCCGTCGATAATCCCAGCGCAGAAATAGTTTTGAACTAATAGCAAATCATAAGCAAATTCACACATTTTGAAAATGGAAGACATATTTTTTATATTTTTTTTTTTTGTTTATGATCATTCCTACAACCGTCGCCAAAGCATGAAAGTTTGCTACATTTTTCCTTCCACTTTTGACGTACAAAATTGTTTGTGTACGGTATCCACATTCCCTAGCTATTTTTGACCAGTGCGACTTCTATAATGAATCTAACCGGTCTTTTGCTAAAGAAAAATTTGATTTGAAATATCTGAGCTAAAAGCATACTACTTTACACTTGTTATTTATACCCTGCGGTGATGTTTACAGACCATCTTTTGAAATGAGGATTGCTAAATAGCATCATGTAACTGATCTCGAGCGGCATCAATACGGTCTCTCTTCATAATTAGAAAATTCCAAAATTCCTGATACATATATTTCCTAAGCACAACACATGGATAAATTGTTTGTCTGTTTATGCATCCGCAATTAAGAATATGTTTTTCAATTTTTAGAAACTAATGTTGCTTTTTTCCTATTTTCCCGCTTGTTGACCGCGAATAGCTACACGAAACTCTTAGTTACTTGAGAGTTCTTTTCATATTCGTCCCAAACGGACAGATAACATAACGGATGTGTATGTATTTATAAACACACTTTTTATGATGTAGATTAGTTATCACAGTATAGTCTCCGCTGTTTGATCGCAGTTTTTAATGATTTCATTGAGCACTTGTGTCCAGCGAATCGATAGATCGAATTCTTTCTGTTTCGAGATTTATATACATGTATATAAATATAAATGTCGCTCCGCTGTATTCAAA